TTAGTATTATACTGTATTTTTTTCAGTTACATAAATGTACTTAAAAAATATATATTTTAATATTCTAACCGGTGTCATGGTGATAAAATCTCAGATCCTGGTGCAATTATGAAAACAAAACCTCCTACTGACTATCCTGACTCAATGTATATTTCAACTAAAATTATTTGTAGGGCTGACACAATTGCATGAATTAAACACTGATTCTAAATAAATATTGATGTTTTAACATATTCTAAGATTAATCATTTAGTTAAATTGTAATTGTCAATTTATTGAGAATCAGTAATATGTCAAAATTAATATATACATACTTATTTTGCTTTGAAAATATAATTGTAAACAGAAAAGCAATCATTATATTTTATAAGTATTAAAAATATAAAAGTTTAACTATATACTTTTGTAAAAATGTAATTTATTATTTAATTTATTTAAAAAAATATAAATAAACATAATAGTACTAAAAATTAAAAGGTACACAAGATTTGAATACTAATTATTTTTTAAATCACATATAAAATAAAATAATAAATACAACTAGATAGGAATATTGTAATATTGGAAGAAAATATTTTTTAAACAACAATTTAAAAATAATGTACTTACTCAACAATTGTTGGCTGTAAATTTAAATTTATTGATGGTAATGTTAAATGTCGCACTAATGTAACTGCAGTTCCAATACCGCGAACAACAATCCCAGATTCTCCTTCTAAATCAAAATATTGATGATAGCTAAAACAAAAAAATTATTAAATTATTTTATACATTTTGTAAGATATATATTATGTTTACACAAATGTACACTATAAACATGTATTAATAGTTGGCAAGGGTGTTTATTTTTATTTTTAATTAATAATAACATTTTAAAAGAACCACATTATCTTTGTACAATAGACAATAAAACTATTGTTTTGAGTAAAAATTGGAGATAGTTGCATTTTGCAAAAATTAAATAAGGGTAAAAAACACCCATGAGTTCAGTCTAAATGTTAAAAACTAAAACAGTAATAACTATTAACATAAATTAAATAATGTTATAATCAACGTCAATGCAATAATTTAATGCACATTATTTTAACTTGGATTTGATTCACTAGTGGCAAACAACAACAGGAGATGGGAAATAAGTATCTCTCATCTCTTGTCTCAATGTAACATTAATGAGTCAAATCTAAGTTAAAATAATGAGCAATAAATAATAACATTGGTATGACATATCTATGGTGTTATTTAATCTATACAAATAATTATTAATTTTAATATTAAAATTGAATCACATAGGTGTTACTTTTTTTTAATTAACACAGAATAAAACCATTTTCAATTGTTACCCAAAATAATGAAATATTATTATGTACTGTACAAAGAAAATATATTCTTTTTAAAATTTTACAAACATTAAATAGGGAATTCTAAATATTAAACTACTTAGGTGTTGAAACATCCAACCAATTTATATTTAATGAGACTGACATTTTGAATATGCAATGTATTTTTAACATGGTACACAATAAAATAACTAACCCAATTACAGCATTTGCTCCAAGCTCTAAAACCTTTAAGCCTATACGTCTCTGTACTTCATTAGAAAGCTTTAGAAATATAGTTTGTCGTGCTTCATTAGTAGCACGAGGTGTACGAATTTTATCAAGCCACTGATATTCAGGATCATCTTCAACCACTAATTCTTCAACAAAGCCATGCACCCATTCTGTATGAGCTGTTATTCCTGCTCCAGCTGTTAAATAAAAAAAAAAATCAATTAAAAAGCATTGCACACATTTATTATTTATCAATATGTACTTACAGTAAAAGAATTGAATTCCACATGAAGATTGACGAAATCTATTAAAATCTGAAAATAGTTCTACTTTTATAATAATATGTACTTCACCTCGAATACCATGCATTGTATCAAAAACAGGAAACCATCCAGATACCACAGATCCTCCTAAAACAACACAGTATGTTTAGGAAAAATGTTGTATACACTATAGATATCAGGTATATGTATAATTTATACCTACCTGTAGTCTGACTCTGGTTTGAAATCAATGTATCTGCTAAAATTTGTTGACCTGATAATTGTACAACTGTTGGCTGTGGTAAAAGTAAAGGATTCAAATTGAAGTATACTTTTCCAATAGCATCATTAGCTGAATAAGTATCATGATCCATAATTCTAATTTGAAGAGGCTCATCTTGAAGTTCTATATCATCTAACTGATTTCATAAATGTACTTTCATGTTAATGTATTTTTTGAACTATAAATTTATAATTATTTATAACTCACTTCAAATTTATACCAGTCAGAATTCCATTGAGGATTTAATGATTTCCTACAAACATCAGTCTTGTATGTTGTACTTCCAAGCTTTACTTCAACATAAGCATCAGTAGTATCACTTGACCGATCCATGACTGGTAAATTTCGGCCAGCTAATACACGTACCTTCACTTTTCCTGGCATCTTTTAAATACTAGTAAGAACTTATAGCATATCACTAATGAACAATGGCATAATAAACAAAAAATGTTTTATTAATTAAATTAAATGTAACCTAACATTTAAAATAACCAGTAAGAAAAATTTTATCAAATTAGAAATTTTAATGAGAAGTTAATTGTTAAGAGTACCTTAATGATTTTAGTTATAAAAGGTTAAAAATTGTTGGCACCAAAGTTTTTAAATCACAAAGGTAAAAAACATTTTAATCCACTTATGAAGTTATGAAATAGATGTACATGATTATATAGTTAAGTATATAATATCCTATAAAAACTACTAGGATATTTATAAGAACTCTTTAACATGTATATTTGAAACTACTGTTAAGAATTATGAGAATGTGATAGTAGATTTTAGATGAGATATCAATAAAACACTTACAATGGATAATGTTTAGGGGTTAAAGTTTTATGAAATAGTCAATAAAATACTAAGATTTGTTATCATTGATATATTAAACATGACTAAAATGTTTGATTATTCAATTTCTAAGCTAGGAGTTATGCTACAGAGTATATTTTTTAAATTTATTCATTCAACATAACAATTAATCAAAATTATAATCTCCTAAACAGTACCTTTATTAAATAACCTGGGAATCTTTTTTTTTATTGTTGTAAAATCATAACTTTTACAATAGTCAGAAAATATTATTTCTAAAATCTTGGTAGTATACACAGTAGATTACTCTTAAAATGTAAATCAAATAATCATTACCTTCTTAAAGTTATTAACGACAAGGTTTACAGACTACAGTTGAGGTTAACTCTAGATGTAAATCAAGAATTGAAATTTTTATGTAAGTAAATTAGCCTAATACTATTGCACCTTAAAAATAACAATATTTAAAACATATAAATTTAAAAATCAAACATTAATAAATTAAACATTTTGAACCGGTTTAAACTTTAAAAAACAAACTGATAAAAGATAACAGAATAAACAGCTGTTTCTTAAAATTAAATTATTTCAATTATTCTATTCAATCAAAAACCAGTATAAAAATATTTATTAAATTACAATCACGATTCAATTTAGTATTTACTATTTAATCAATCCACAGAAATTCAAAAGATAATTGATGACAGTTATTAATTTATTATAGTATTTACTATTTCTTTTACGTGTAGACGTGTAGTTGTCACTCGTCCACTCGTCGATTCGTAATATATTACTATATTTTATAATATTTTGTTTCTAACAACCTATCATTAAGTATAAATTAAGATAATACATTTTAGTTCTTAAACTTTTGGTTTCTAGTCTAATTTATTTTTAAATTTAATATTATTTATGACTCACCGAGTTCACACTTAAAATAGTTTTCTATAATCGTATATATTTGTAATACTATCTTAAGGTTAAGACTTAAATCGTGGCTGACTGGTCTGATCTGAGTTTATTAAACTAGGTATAAATTTAAAAAATAAAATAATTCATTTTTGACATTTATATAAGTACATAAATATTTTGATATTTTAAGAACTGTATTCAATAAATATAAACTATAAATTTTTGAAGTTTCAAGTTAATGATAATTAAAAACTGTGAATTAATCTCTTCGATTCCCATCGTTTTAAGAAGTTCAATATAGGCAATTTTGAATTTTTAAGTTGGAGTTCGCAGGTTGTGCAAATATGTGTAATTTTATGCCATAAATATTTAATGCGTGACTATATATAGTTGAGAATTTGAGACGTTAATTACTGACGAATCGACGAGTGGATGAATGACAACTAGGTACTTACTACTTACTACACGTCTACATTCTACGCGTAAAAGAAATATCAAAATTCGGAGCACTCCCGCATCACACTTTTCAATAACTACCCATTAAAAAACTTTTTAATTATTTAGTTTCTCTAACTAGCTTTTTCAAATTAAATATATTAACCTACATAGCATAAATAACTAATTTTAATATTTACAAATTTTAAAATGGTCAAACTCAAACATTAAATAAATACAATATATTTTTCGATACTTATTAAAATTTACTATTGTAATCGTAAGATGGTATACGAAATACGAAATACGAATACGATTTAAAAAGTAAACATTTTGGCCTTTGGGAATACGAGGATTTTAAAACAATATGTTGAATATATTGTCGCAATGTCGTTATGTACTTCATATTTATAAAGTCATGGAATATCCCATTACTCATGATTCATGAAATAAAGTTATTAGATAGATACAACTGATACAAGTGATACAACCGGGAGAATATATATTTTACTATTTGAATCTAGTTAATTGTGTTTTGATATTTTTAATTCTTCCATAGTTACATTAATAATTAATAATTATTGTGTATTCTGTTTTCATGTTTTAACTTTCAAGCCTCATAAAGTCATAAGTCATAATTACATACTCGAGGTCACGTATTAATTTACGTTGCGTGATCTTATGTAATTTAATTATTATTCATTAAGTCATCAATATATTTGTAGAATAAAATCACATTAAATTTACTTCTTATTACCATTAAAAACGTTTTGCGAACTAAAAAATATTTTAGAACGTAGGTACTTACTGATAAAAATAATTTTTAAAGATGGTTAAAGCAGTTTGTGTCTTAAATGGTGAAAATGTTAAGGGTACAATTTTTTTCTCACAAACCGTAAGTACATGACTATAATATAGGTACTACAGTTATTTTATTATTTATTTATTTATTTTTATTTTTAGGATGAAAAATCTCCCGTCGAAATAACTGGTGAAGTAACTGGACTATCTAAAGGGCTACATGGATTTCATATACACGAATTTGGCGATAACACTAATGGTGAGTTAAATAGTATATTTGTTCAAGAATTGACTAAAGATTGTGCTAGATTTGTCCTAGATTGTGCTTAAGGAATGGGGGGGAGGAAGCAAATTCTATAGGGCATAGGCCTTAAAATGTGGATAATTTTGTGGGCATTAAATTAAGAGATGTATGTTTTTTATTATTTATTTGTCATTAAAAAAATCATGTATTCATATTGTTAATCACCACATCATTAAGTATACCTACAAATCAATTAAGATTTTCATGTTAGAGTTCTTGTAGTCTTAGAATTTTTAATCTATCAAGTTTAAACAATGGAATGTTATTAAACACAAAACAAAATCAATTAGAAATTAACAGAAAAATAAAATTATTTAAATTTTTTTTCTTTTTATCTTAAAAATACTTATTTAACAAAAGAAATCTTTACTCAATTATTGGTTTTTGATTTTTCATGTACCTATTTATGATGTTTGTATTTTTATTTTTAATATTTTGTGTAACAATTATACTATCGTTAACCTATGAATACAATTATAGTCCTACATCAGTTAAGAAAAAAAAAATACTTATTTATGTTTTTAAATAATAATTCTAATTTTCACTCATAATATTTAAAAACAATCTTAATAATTGATATAATAATATTATGTTGTTTTTTAGGTTGTATGAGCTCTGGTCCACATTTTAATCCTTTTGGAAAAACCCATGGAGCTCCTAATGATGAAGTGAGACATGTTGGTGACTTAGGTAATATTGAAGCTCCCGGTTCATCTGTGACAAAAGTAAATTTGAATGACTCATTCATATCACTTACAGGACCTCTCAACATTATAGGCCGTACTTTAGTGGTAAATATTTTTTTTAATATGTAGGTAAAGTTGTATGATAAGTATAAGAACTAGTTAAGTATTTAAATTGTTTATTGGTCCTAATAATAATTTATTTATTATAATAACGTTCTTTTTATAGGTACATGCTGACCAAGACGATTTAGGTAAAGGGGGTCATGAGTTAAGTGCTACTACAGGAAATGCTGGAGCCAGAATTGCTTGTGGAGTTATTGGAATCACTAAATAAATAATATCTATCTTTGTCTAGTATAAAATTTGTTTGATATTAAATGGATTTGTAGACTTATTATAGAAAACAGATATTTATGTATTTTTACCAATAATACATAAATAAAAATAAATAAGTATACATTTTTATTTATTATTAATAGCAATTAGATAATTTGTTATTTTTTTACTGAATTAACTTAAAAAATGGATTTCAAAAATTGTTTCTAGTAAAGATTTTGATTGTTTTTAATGTGGTTATTTGGCATTATGTTTTAGTATGGAAAGTTTGATCATTAATAAATCCTTATTATAAAAATTTAAGAAATTATTATTTATTTTATTATTTTACTAAAAATTTAGAATACCTATCAGGTGGATTAAGTGTCAAGCAGTTACTTTGAGCAGCAATTTTGGGTCAATATTTTATTTTATCTTAAGGTTTTAAATATTCCCTTTTTCTAGGAAAGTATCATATAATGATCTATAACATATCCTATACTCTGATTCTAAATATTTATCATTCCAGTACTTATAATATTATGCATATTAATTGTCATAAACCTATGTTTCAAGTTTAATGGTTCGCTTGATCCTCTGTCTCATATTAAAATGATTTGTTGCTGTAATTATAAAATACTACTATGCATTAATTTGTCTAATTCTTGATTATGGCTTGATTAATTAAAATCTACTAACTACTTATGACTTATTTAATAAAAAAAGTTCAACCTAGATTTTTTCGATTCATAAGTTTTTATTAAGTATTCCCATGCACTAATTACAGATCTTTTTAATCTTAACTCACTAATAGATTGCAGAGAAACGTTAAAACTTAAATTCAGTTATAGCTTATTAAGTGGTAATGTTACTTATCCTTACTTTTTATCTTTATTGAACTTAATAGTTCTTTTAAGCATCTCCATTATAGACTAACCATATTACACGGCATATAATCTGTTCTTAATTTCAACCTACATCACCAACTATCTATTCATAAATCAAATTTCAATGCAAACCTACTTTTTGTTTTTGCTTAAAGTATTTTTAGTTATCATTCTTTTATTCTGTAAATGTACTACCTACTTTTAAATTAAAATATTAAATTATTGTTTTGCATTTTAAAAATCTAAAATTTAATTTTACTTAATAAATATTTACAAAATATTGGTTAACTACAATTTACCATAATTTAACACAAATAAATATTATTTTCATTTATTCTAGTATGAAATGTTTAATCATTAAAATTTAATTATAAAATTATTACTAAAATTTCTTAGATAAATATATAAAAAAAAAATTGTGACAATAGTGTTAATATCTTTGACTATAAAATAGAGAGCCAGCCAAAAAATTATAGCAAATAAAACAACTATTTTCATACAAATTTAAGAAACTAAAATTTAAACTCTAGTTATTTTGATTGAAAGTGAAATGATAAATAAAATATGAAGACATAATATTATTTTTCACAAAAGAAAAAGCAAGGTAAATTAAATTATTATTTTATTTTTTTCATTAATGTATGTTATAATTTGTTTAACAGCAAGAACTAAGTTAGGTATTTAATTTGAATCCATAGTTATAGATCTATAATAAAAATAAATAAATTATTATTTACTAAATATTGAATTGGTACTTGGTATACTATTTTCTCGATTAAAACAATATAAGAGCTCAAACAATTATTGTTTAATATCTATAAATGTTTTTATTATTTTTTTTTGACAAAGTTTTTCAAAAAATACTTGAACAACCATTTTACTTATAGTTAATTTTATAGGTAAAAAAAACTTTCAAATTTAATGATTTTTACATCAATTAATTTAACAACAAAAATTCACTTCCTAATTGTTTTTTGAGAATTTATTACTTGATTTACTATTAGTAATTTTTTAATACATAAATGTGATTTAATAAATCATATCAAAGTTTATTATGTATTTGGTATTTTACTTCTTTCTACTTGTGACTAACCATAAATTAAATAAATAAACAAAAATGATTAATTGTCATACAAATATTTTATTACTTAAAAAAAAAAATGAATCAGATAATACACATTATATAAGATAATACATTTTCACTGGTAGATAACTAAACAAACAAAAATTTGTAAATGAGAAGTTAAAATAATTATAATTGATCAGTAAACGTTAATACAGTAAATAAAGAAAAAAATTGTTTATTTTTGTTTCTTTTAAACTTCCAAAATTAATTGTAAGTAGTTTTAACTTTTAAATAAGACATAAGTTTAAATAACTGCACAACTACTTTTCTCTCTGAATGGATTAGCTTTCTGCGATGAAAACCCAACCATAAGACAATCTTCCATTTCTCGTTCCCTGATATACTTTATAATGTCTTGTATAGCTTGTGAAACAGGAATACGTTTCACAGCTGCTTCTCGGCGAAGCTGTTCCGTTATCTGCCGCTGCTGTTGCAGATTGGAAATCATCATGTCCATGACTGCAGTATCGGATAGGCCTATTTTCGATGGGTGTGGTCACACTTACAAACAGAAATTAAAGTCCAATTTAAGGACTTGAAGTGACTTGAAGTGGGCAGATATTGATCAATATATAAGTAAGCAAATCAATTAAGATGTTTTGAATTACAAGAGTATTAACTGTAAACAAGATTAAGCTATACTTTATTATTTAAATAATAATTGAGATAAAATAGTTAACACTTCACAGTTCACATTCAACAGTAATCGCTAAAGCTTGTCAGTATCGGTAATCGCCTTGGAAAGATGGGAGTTGGTATAATAATATGGACTATAGAATATAAACAGATATACTGATAGTGTTGGTCGATTGAAAATGTTATCAGCAATTCATCAAAACACGGTTACGTACATAGAGCCCCGTACCATAGGTCATAATAAATTGTGGACCGTGGTATTCTGAATTTCTGATGTGATAACTTAAAATTTATTGACACATGTAAGCTTCTTAGATCTCTAAAATTTTGTGAATTCCCCTAAAAACATTTTACTACCGTATTGTCCGCATAACGCATTACACTTTTACACTTACGTAAATTCCTATTGCTGGGTAAAGGGTGGGGGCATAGGAGGCAGCTGCCTTGGGTGGCACGATTTTAAAGGCAAACAAAAGTTTTGAGATTGTCTAATGTAGATAATGGATATACTAGTTTTTACTGTTTTTAGGAACAGTTATTAATTTATTATTGAAAAATACGAATAATAATATTTCTATTTTCATTCGTATTATTTTCGAGTATAAATCGCATGTATTGATGTATACAAAACTCGGAACTGCACGTCTGCACACACTAGGTATCATATTAATATTTAAAATCGTATTTGTTGTATTCCTTATATCTACATGGCTCTATGTGTGTTGTATAATTTATTTATATATATCATAACCATCAGGTTATTAAATTCGGTGTTAATGGTTTTAAATAATTTAATTGTAGGTACACTAACAAGTAGTTTTTTTAATTTTAATTATACCTCTCGAGTCTTCGCAGTTCGCAGACATAGTAAAGAGTAAAGACTAAATTTGTCGAGTACAATGTGGACGATTTGTGCTTACTACTTAGTGCTTAGTGCTTACGTAATAAACGTTATCAAATCTATCAATGAATCCGTTGGATCTTGGATTCAAACATTCCAAACAAAAATTATTACAATTTACAATGCAATAATAATGCTTAACATTAATATTTTAGTTATATTTACTCGTTTTTTAAGCTGAATTGTTTAATTATATAAATTCTTAAGGTTTGTGTTTACTAATGCACTGTACATAGTTAGTTTAAACTGCTTGCAACCCTATTTTTGCTATGCTTTTCAGATTGCTCATTGTTTAATCGCCTATTTTTAAAATTGTATTACATAAATTATATGATTAATAGAAATTTTGCATTATATGTAGGTATACAGATACTATTGTTTAAATAGGGTTTTATGCTGGGTACTTGGTTGTTCTCATTATACAGAAAATAGTTCTTGTAGCTTTTATTGCTTAATGCTTTCCAAAAGAATTAAAATCAAGAAGATATTAAATAAAATTAATAAGGTGGCTTTGGTCACATGCTCATAGATACATTTTCAATAAAATAATTTTATTTGGTAGTGAAAGTATTAGTAAGAATAATGTTAAAACAAATTTAATTTGTATATAGTGGACAATTTTCAATTATCACTGTAAAGTTATAACTAAAATGTTTTGTGAAAATTCTTAAATTGATTTTTTCAATAAAAGTATGTACTTCAAATAGTTGTGTCTTACACTGCTTAATAATTATATTTTTATTATGATATAATTCTGCAACTTTTGCTACTAAATTCAATTCACCATCATTATTAATTGTTAAAACATCTAGCTTCAACATATTATTATATTATTGTCACAAATTTGCTTCATTCCAACTTGTTTGGATTTTGCCTATAAGCCTTAACTTATGTTTTATATTTTGTTCTATAGAATATGAATATTAAAAATAGTTAGGATTGTTTGAAATATTGTGGTATTTTTCATTATTTGACTATACAACTTTTGGGCTTATAGATGAAGAAAAATCATATTTATTATTCTAGAAGAAAAGATGAGCCTAAATCAAGTGCTTGTGTGAAACTCCTAAAGGTATTATTCATTTTTTGAATGTTAAGAGTTAATTTTATAATAAATTCATTTAATTTTAGTGTATCTGAAGTAATTAAGTCATCAACCTCACTGACTATACTTGAAACTGAAAACTATTTTCTGAAAAAACAAAATGAAGAATTGAAATTGAAACTAAATACAGTAGTCACTCGATAATTCGAAATTCAGGGGACCAAGTTAAAAATTTGGTTTATAGAGGTTTTCGATTTACCGAGTGTTTGAATAATTGAGGGAAAATAATTAGTTCGAATTAAAGAGAGGTGAAAAATTATTGTGTGTATTACATATTACATTTATTTTGATATCTATTAATTTATTATACAAAATATACATACATACATATTATTATATTTTATAATTATTAATTGGTGGCTTGGCGTGGCGCGTTGGCTACTTCCAGTTGCGGAATGCCACTGGGAGTAAGTAACGGCCACAGCTACTAGCTCTCGGATGGGTGACCATTCGGGATCATAGTGGTTAAAAACCTTGCCACACATACACGTGTTTGCTATCAACCGTATCAATCGTAAAAAATACAACCTACCGAACCAACCTTACTTAAAAAAACCCAATGGCCTTAGTAGCCGCGGGTCAACTAAATAAAAAAAAAAAAAAAATTATTAATTGATATTTATTTATTATATTTTACATATTAAAGAAATCTGTTATTTTTTTTATGATAAATTGCTGGCCAGTGGCCACAATTTGGTTCATACTGTCCATAGCGATGTCTAACTCATTGATAGCATTGAAAATTGTATCGCATCTTTTTTCGTTCATTTCAGATTACTCAAAAAATTGACGTAATCCTGACAAAAGTTTAGATTAGGTAAGTAAGGTACGATAACGTTTATCAACTACGATAATATTAAACCACCAATGTTATAACTTGTAAGTTTCATTACGATTATGTCAAATATATTGTACGTTATCTTCATATGTATGTACATTGTACATGCATATGAACTTACATATAATCGCGTTTAAGGAAATTCGAATTATAGAGGTTTATGGAATAAAAATTCAAATTGTAGAGTGTGTTCCACCGTCAAACATTTCGAATTATCGAGGGGACCGGAATACATGCATTTTCTTCTAATTATAGAGGTTTTCTCAGGGGACTTAGCGTTTAGTTCGATTTATGGAGTTTTTCGAATTATCGAGGTTCGAATTAACGAGTGACGACTGTATATTAAGCTTGTCGTTCACATTTGAAAATTTAGTTCAAAATCAGGAGTTATTAATTTCTTATACTAGCATACCATCAAAAGAAATATTTATAGCTCTTTACAATTTAGTGAAAAATGTAGAGATAAAATATCATTAAAGCTGGCGTATTGACATTTTCAGTAAAATTGATCAAATACTAATAACGTTAGTTAAATTGAGAAACAATATTCCACATTTTGATTTATCTGTAAAATTAACTGCAGTAGAACAACTGTAAGTAATGTTGTCATTACATGGTTTAATATTTTACATGGCGTACTATTTAAAAAGTTGATACAAAAAAAGTACATAATACTATATCATATAAAATTGAGATTGTTCCAACATTTTATAAAGTGAACGCAGGAATGATGTCACGGTAGCATAGGAAAAACGGGTTTGGGGAATTGTACAAATATCGTTTTACTTGTACAAAATTATACAAAAAAAGTAAACAATACTGTCAAGGTTTGATATTAAACTTCAAAAGTGGCAGTCCTGGCGTGACGGGCGTATTTGAAACCGTATTTTCTCATGATTTTTTTTTCTTTTTTTATTTCAACGTTTTTAATTTTCCTGTGAAAATATTTAGGGTTTTATATAACCTAGCCCTTTGTATGATTTCAAATTAAGACACCCTTGGGCCTACTTGGCTTATACGTTAATCTGCAACTAATCATTAGAAATGATTAATTACACAACAATAAATAAAAACTATAGTCCATAATGAATTCAATATTTTATTGATTAACTTATAGGTACCTATAAAACAAAAGAGAATATGGATAAATATAAGTAGGTAGGTATTGCTATAGCATAAATGAAAATAAACCTATATAGCATAAAAAATATATTACATATTTGAATTAGTTACTATTATGATTGTGGTGTCTAGAAGATAATTTACAAAATATGATGAGACAGGAAAACAGTTAAGGATTTGAAAAATTATAGCCAGTAAAGTAATAAAAGTAATTGTTCACATTTTATTATACAAGATATTTAATAATAATAATCATATAAAATAAAAAAGGCAACATAATTTAATATTTGGTTAGGTTACAATGATTAACAATAATGTTTGTGGATTGGCGTAGATCAATGACCTAGTAAGTAAGCTAAGTAGAAAAATTATAAAATATGCCACAAAATAAAGTAATAGAAAAAGTTTTAAATGGAATTTTCTAAGTTAAAGATTTAAAAAAATGTATAAAAACAAATTAACTAATATTTAATTGTTCACAAGCGTAACAACTACAATATAATTTATAGTAAACATAATATCTATTATTTTAACAATAAATATTAGATTGTTTTGTTTAATACATCATTAGTACACAACATTAAAATACAAACTACATAACTTTTTTAATATAAATGTCAACGAGTGAAATAACATTAAAAAAAATGAAAATGATTTTTTTAAGCATGCTCAGTAAAAAGTAAAATAAAAATGGAATATAAATTATTATAAATAATTTTATAGTTATTTTACCAAAGTCCTAAAAATGTAATGTTAAACTGGCAATTTAATTATGTTTAAAAACAACTTAAGAAACATGAGTAAAGAGATCTCTGAAACTGATACTATATAATATTATTCAACAGCCATATGGTTAGGTTACTAAAACCAGTTTTCATGAAATATAGTAAAAAAAATGTCAATAATTTATTAAGTTTAAAATGGAATAAAAGTTATAATAAGTAATATGTCTAATAGTAGTGGTTTGAGCAGTATAAAAATATAAACTTAGGGGTAAAATTATAAAAAAGGAAAAATATTATTTAGAAGCAGATTAAATTTGATACAATAGACAAATTATCAAAGAAATGTATATTTTGTTCGCTAACTTTGATCTTCTTGGTAATGTAATTTACGCAATGCAGATAATTTCATTCTTTCTTTTTCTAATGATGATTCTAACTC